AAATATGAGATTCGAGACGTGATGATAAGGATAAATGATAATGAGGATATTATGTATCGCCATGATGATAATCATGAATAATAATTGATAAAGATAATGATGATATGATAAGATGATGATGAATAGATCTGGTAAATTAGAAAAAATAGTATTTGATAACAATGATAGTAATGCATTATCATGATATGAATGAATAATGAAATTGTTAATAATAACATTAGCAACTCAGTAGCAGAACACTAAAAACAAATTCTAAACAAAACAAGAATTACAACAGAAAGCAAAAATATATTCCAGAATTTCCACACCCTCCTCCTCAACGATCACACAACCTTCATAGACAAATTCCTATAGAATGAGGTGGAATTTCCGACCTTTGGCACTGACCTTGCAGACAGTGCCACACAGTAGGTCGATAGTGCCAGGGTTTCGTCGTTGTAAAAATGGCTCTCTCTGGGTCAAGTATTTTTTTTTCTTTTTTTTTAGTGTCAAGTGTCTGTTAGTTTGTTTTGTAGTTTATGTGTGTTTGTGTTGCTATATGGGTCTTATGTTGTGTAGTATTTTATGGTAGTTTATGGTAGTTTATGGTAGTTTTTGTGACGATACGAATAAGAAAAATGAAATGACAAGATGAAACAAGAAAACAAAATAAGAATAGATAGTTTATTCAAGTTTATGGTAGTCTTCGTGCCCACATAAATAAATAAAAAAACAGAAAACAATAAACAAATAAGAAATTTTTTTTTCCAAAAGTCGATTAGAAATAACAAACAAGTTTTAATACGAAGAAAATTAAGAAAAGAAATAACAAATAGTTTTAATACGAAAAAATAAGAAAAAAAGAATACTTAGATTAAGCGGAAAACAAGGATTGATGTTAAATACCTTTCGATTTGTCAGGAGATTGTCCAGGTAGTGATTAGGCCAAACAGAAGGTAGAAACAGTGACGTATTTAACTCAGGTAAGAAGCAGTAACACCAGCAGGTATAATTAGCCAGGAGTGACAGGTAGAAGCGGTAGCAGCAGGAACACCAGGCAGGTAGAGGCAGTGTCCGAAAGGGAAGGTAATATTCTTACCCAAGGCAACAGAGAGGTAAAAAAAAAAAAAAGAAAATTAATAAAAAATACTCTCACCAATGGCAACAGAGAGGTAAAATGAAAAAAAAAATTGATTAAAAAGAAATAATAATCTCACCAACTGACAGCAAGAGGGTAAAAAAAATGAAAAAGAAATTAATGAAAAAATAAGAAAAAGAAAAAAGTAGAAAAATAATCAAGATGTAAGAGAAAAAATGGTAGCATGGCATCACAGAGGTAAAAAAAAGATAAAAGAAAATGAATAGAAAAAAATAAAACCAGAAAAAAAGGAAAAAAACGGATTTCCTATAAGGTCAAGGAAATAGTCACTGCAAGTTTATCAAAAGGAAGATTAGACAGCCTATTGCTCTTCCTCATTTCCTTTTTCTTCTATTCCCTCCTTCCTCCCTTCGTCTCTTCCCTTCCCTCCTCCCTTTGGCTCTACCCTTTCCCCTCGTCCCTTCCCCCTCCCCTCCTCCCCCCCTCCCCTTCTGCTCCTTACCCAACCCTTCACTCACCTGCTCCTTCACCCAGCACGGATTGGAACCTCTTCTTCCTCCTCCTCCCCTTCCCCCCTCTCCTCCCCATTAACCCCCTCTTCCCTCAAACCCCCAACCCTTTCCCTCCCCCGCCACCCCTTTTTCCCATCCCCCCCCACCCCTCCCATCCCCCCCCAACCCAACATAACCTCTCATCCGCCTCCCTACCCCCCCCTCCCCCCCCAACGACCCACTGACCGTAGGCCACATGTCGCGCGCTCGGCGGGGGGTAGGGGGAGGGGGGTAGGGAGTGATATGTGGGAGACAGCGGGGAGGTATGTGGGGGGGGGAGACAGGAGAGGTCCATGTGGGGGGATACGAGAGAGGGCCATGTGGGGGGAGGAAGGGGAGGGCCAAGGGGAGACAAAAGGAGAGGGCCATGTAGGGGGAGACAAGGGGAGGGAGAGGGCCATGTAGGGGGAGACAGAACGGGGAAGGGGCACACTGGGGAGAGAAACAGGGATAGGAAACAAACCGAGGGACAGAAAAGAGGAAGGAAGGAAGAGAAGAAGAGGGNCTTTGGCTGATATTTCGTAAAGCAAACATAACATTTTCTTTTGAGAACTGGTAATTTAAAAACAATTCGTCTTTCTCAAGTTTATTATTGACAATTTCAAAGCATGACTCGTCACATTTTCTGATTCATATAGCATCCCTATATGATGGGAAATGATTAATTCATAACGTGGGTGAATGAGGGACAGATGGAGACTGGTGGATTGTTGAAATCAGTCCATATGTCTGTCTGGATGAATTGGGTCATGTACATCTTTCTTCTTTTATAGGGTTTTAGACCATTCTATAGTATATACTCCCTGGGTCATGTACAGTTCTTGTGCTCTGATCCTAAATCGCTATTTTTAATGTATCAAATGTATTCGAAAAGTAGATTCCCTGTAGTTGTTTATACATTAATGTCCTACAATTTCCCAAAGGATGGCGTAAATGTAGAATAAAACTGGTGCCTGAAAATGTCTTTAAACATATTTGCAAATGCCTATTCATCCAGCCTCTTTCTCACTGTCTCCTAAGCAACCCTTAGCAAGCTCTGAAGAAACCCCAGGATTACGGAGGGTCTTAGTTGGGAAGCTCTGGTAAAGACTGATGAAGGCTCCGATGGAAGGCTCTCCCTCCAGCAGCGCCCTTTCCATGAGGAACATTTCAGTGACTGGAAGAGCGTCCCTGCCTGGGTTCTGTCGTCAGCTCATTGTAATGCCTCAGCGGCTCTGCCTTTTCGCCCCTAAATCCCTGACGAAGAGCACAGGGTCACCGGAATTGAAGTTCCGGGTGGAGGCGATGCTCTGCCGGTGTTTGAGGTGCTTCTCTCTAGCGCTTCCGAATGGTCCGTAGGTATTGGTGATGTCTCTTCCAGCAGAGCTCCACCTAGGGAAGGTGATCAGTAAGGTCGGTGCTCAGTAAGTGTTAAGATCTTGACACTTACACTTACTTGGGACTGCAGTTAGGGGGCTTCCATTTTAAGGGCTGTCCTAGACCGAAGCAGCCCTCTTTTGTCACCTTGTCTGATGGGCTTAGGCTTATGCAGCTACCTCGAGTACCTCATGCCGCACTCGTCTATGTTGCACTGTCTGCCGTCAGGCAGACAACTAGCGGCCACTCACTCTCGCGATGGCCTTTTGCACGAGAGCAGTCATTTTCTTGAAGATTTTACACATGGTCAGTGTGTACTGCCGAGCAGAGGGTGCGGTCGCGCCAACCGTGTGTTAGTGGTGGCTGGGTCCCATTGCCTGCCCGGCCATGTGGCTACGTCTTAGCACGGTCACTCTGGGGTCCTCTCTGACCTGCCTTGGGTGCTCGCTCGACCGTTGGAATGGTGAGGGCTCCAGCTCCTATCTCTGCCCGCCCTGCTTCACTCATGCCTGTTGTCGAACATGACTTCCAAGACCTCCGCTTGTTTCCGGAGAGTTACGTAGGCACTCCAGAAGATTCACTGCCCTTTGGACTGCACCATGTTGTTGTTCTTCGTGATCTTCGGCTGTCCTGTCCCCAGTCCTTGTGAGTCTCCCATTATGTCCTTCCCCTCGTCTACCAGGTAATCCCTCAGGGCGTCTCCCGGAAGGACTCTTTGAATTGCTGGAAGCCCTCGGAATACTTGGAAAATATTAGGGAAAGCTTTTCTCATTCGTCAAGCTCCCTGGCCTCCGTCACCGTACTGAACAGCTCTGGAACAAGCGGTAGCTAAGAGTGCTGACGCCTCGGACACCGCCACCGCTCGACGTCTCTGCGCTCTCGCTTTATCCCCCGGCAGTCGTCTGCCTCATCGCTCCCATTGTCTTGTTGCCGTAAGTCATCAGGCGGTAGTCATCGGGAAGGGGGAGCCAACTCGGGGTTCCTACGTGGTTTCGTCAGCCTCTGGGAGTTTCCTTGGATACTCCCATGACCTGTGATCATTGAATCACCGCCCGCGGGAAAGGGGAGAGAGAGAGAGAGAGAGAGAGAGAGAGAGAGAGAGAGAGAGAGAAGAGAGAAGAGAGAGAGAGAGAAGAGAAGAGGAGAGAGAGAGAGAGAGAGAGGATTGATGATTGGGGGAATGAGAGAAACAGGAACAGAGTTATCCCCTTTATCTATTCATTTAAACACGCTTAGTATTCACCTTCTCGACAGGATTCATGAGTAAACCAAACCCTGACCCCCTTCCCCCACCCTCGAATAAAAACTGATCTTGAACTTTTTCCTCTTCTATGCCTGGCAGTTTCTGTATCACTTTTCCACATACGAGTATGTTTAAAAAGCTAAACGAATGCTGCTCTCTCTCCCAACATCGTCATGCAAATTTCAGTATTGCGTGAAAGTTGACTATCAACGCATTTGCCTTTATATGTATAGTTGTTTTTGCCTCTGTTTTAAGGCTCTCCCCTCATTTAATATTGTTTCATTTTCTAAATGCTTGGTCATACAGATGTAAATTGCCAAGTAGTACTAGTATTAGTATTAGTTATAGTAGTAGTAACATCATTTTTATTATATTATTGCTTTTAGCTTTATTCATTAATCTTATTACTATTATCATTATCATTATTTTTATTATCATCTTAATCATTAGTATCATTATTATTATTACAATTACTATCATCATTATCATTATTATTATTTTTTTTGTATACAAGGAAAATTACAAAAATCTTATATTTCATTACAATTTATTTGTATATATATCTAATATACATCTTTAGTAATATAACCATATCGCCTCAGGTTCATATCAATCTAACAAGCAAGAGATTTTCCCCGATGGATTGTGGAAAATGAGCACCAGACACATACAAACAAATCAAGACTCTTCTGAAAATGATTTTACAGTTTATAAAGAAAATAGTTCCAATATTCATAATGTAAGCACTTAAGTGGGTAAAAAGAAATTAATACAAATTTCTATTATTTATTTTATGAATGAACATAAGCAAATCTTTCACTCTTTGGCCTATATCTAATAATCTACATACACCAAACCATAACAAAACTAAGAACATCCATAATTCTTATCAAAATATCCATAATTCTTATAAACTCTTCCAGCCAATTATATAATTACACAAATCTCCCAGTTTGCTGAAGTTCATCCTGAAAAGAAAAGACAAGGAAAAAAATAACAAATCAACATTCCATAATGCTTCATATGATCTATCTCAATTTTGTTTGCAATCCCGCACAACCGTTCTATCATGCTCGGAATATGCCAAAGGACTTCATATGCAACGTCTGCCGTATCCTCACCATTTCCCACCGAGATTTTGCACAGTTCCTAGCCCTTATTGCTATAGAGGACGAGACACTTAAGCCCCTTGAGTTTGAAGTTTTCCTTCTCCCTGAAGACTTTCTCAGCTTCCTCTTTTGTCTCGAAGACGGGGTTGGCATAACTGGAAAGGCAATTTGTATTAGTATCAAGGGATGGGGGAGGAAAGAAAAGAAAAGAAAAGAAAAGAAAAGAAAAGAAAACAACAACAACAATGTCCCTACACTTTCTAAACATCTGGAACATCTGGCATTTCAACCTGCGATGTCATCATTGTCAAATGACCCATGTGAAATGCATAAACATCCATAGATTATAGAGCCATTTCTAAACAACCCATCACCTGGAAATGGCACAAGCGTCCTGTCATTATGATGCAGGACATGGCCTTCACTGCCAGATCCAAAAAGAGTTAGTTACACTTACTGTCTTTCAGAATTCAGGTTGACTACTATAGCTGTAGGGAAAGCCTTTTTCAAATCCTCTTCCGTGACCTCTTCTGGCACATGGTCAATGTATAATCTGTAGTTTGGAGATATAAAAGGCTATTAGAACTCCTTTCATATTTGCCCACAATCCTATCTACTTCACGCATCTTCAAAGGACAAGGTGAAAGACAATAACATGACTCAGTAAAGAAAAGGCAAATATATTATCATTATTAATAATAACAATAACAACATTGACAACAACAATAATAAACAACAACATAATAACATATAAATAAAAAATGCAATTTTTGAGACAGAAACAAACACAAAACCCTTTAATGTTGAAGTCTGACATCTTTTTTGTAATCCCATTTAATCTAATTCAAATCCCTCGGCCAACAGACAAGGAAAAAAGAAGTTATTTCAAGTTACTCACTTCCTAGGATTCACAATTCTGTCTCCTTGCTTGACCTCTGGGTGTTGTATCATCTTGGTTCCCTCCTGTGCCTCCAATTCCTTCTTCTTCTTCAGTGCTTCAGCCTTTGTCCTGAATTCAGCAACGAAAAGGCCAAACCTGAGGAAAAAAGGGGTGTGCTTAAAAAAAAAACAATAATAAGAGGGGGAACTATTGATTAATATCAATCAAGCTGTTGTTACTGTAAACATATATACCTACAGAAATATCGCGAGGAGAGAGAGAGAGGAAGAGGAAGAGAAAGAGAGAGACTAACTGGAGAACATGTTATAAAACCTTGGGACTGTATGCACACACAAAACAGACCAAATACTCACTGCCTGATTTTGACTGTTAAAGCTCCTGCGATGGCTGGGGGGTTCGTGCTGATGAGGAGGGTTCGTGCGCAGCCTTCTTCCTCTCGCTTCAGGTGCATTGCAAGCAGATCTCCTTCAAGTTTCACCTGCAGAAGAAGAGGAACTTAAGAATACCTCAACAAATGCCAGTCTAATCAGGTCTATTCTTCGGTACACTTCCTTTACACTGCACGTTTATGACTTCACTAATAAATCCATACCCAATGGCCATTTAACTCTCCAAAGACCGAACTCACCCCTTCTTGCTTTAGCCTTATCCTCCCCCTCTTTCGCTTTGGCTCCTCCGATGATTCTTCATTAATCTTGCGTTTCTGACCTTCAGCCTTAGTTTCATTCTGGGCTTCTGCCGTTTCCTCTTTTGTAGGTGTAGCTTCTACTGCCACCTCTTCTTTCTTCTCTTCTTTCTTTGCTGCTGTCTTCTTTCCTGCCTTCTTTTTCTTGCCTGCCTTCTTTTCTGGTGTACCCATACTTTTCTGGTTCTTTTCTAAAATGGGCATGTTTCTGTATTCCTTGTCCTCTGAAACAATGATATAAGAAATGTGAAAATGGTTGTTACCATATTTCTTTTTTTCTCCTACAATACTGATAAGAAATGCGAGGTCACACAGGCGTTCTAGGAAAACTTGTTACCTCAAAGTCATATGTTCTTGGAGTACTGATGGTTCATATATACATTAAGGGAATAAATCACTGACAAAGAATGCAAAGAAAGGAACATCTTTATTATTTGGTTTTTCAGCTTATTTAATGAGCATTTCTGTGAATACCACCTATTGTGCAGTAATTCACCTGCAAAATTTGAGCCAAAGATTATCATAATAACTAGCACTTTAGAATAATTTAAACAAATGCAAAATAACTATTTGGTAAAGATATACTGGTTGTTACAGCAGATATAGAGTTCAGACAAAGGTAAAATATGCCATTCCAATTTTTTTAGTTTTGGCATGACTGAAAAAAAGCTCAGTATATTAAATGAAAAACAAAACACATGACCAAATTTCCTACTACAATCTTGGCCGAAAAAATAAGTAATTCTTTACAGTACAGACACACTAACCATCTCCAAGTCACTGACTTTACTCTACAATCTAAACTGCCTTGACTGGACGAATGCTTGAGGGGAGGGTTAATAGGGGATTCTATCCCCCAACACCCCCTGGGAAATAAAGTTTTCACCTTATTATGCATGGCAAAACTGAGTGGACTTGGGCCGTGAGCAGCGCTTTCAAAGACCTTTTTCCTTTATTTGTGGCGTTACCATGCACGGCTGCTGATTACTTCTTGTGCCAACAACTTCAACCCTTTGTCATTTACAAGAATATGATCCTCAATCTTTGTGCATCCATACTGTAAGGCTTAGCCCAAAAATACTGAAGCACAAAAATGTATTTCAGCCAAAACAGACAGCCAAATGATAAAATAAATCTGCATACATTCGTTTGCCAGGTCATGGCCTCCACGCATGGCGCTCCGGCAGAGGTAATCTAACCCTATTCTACCCCATTCGACAAAAACAGCTTATCACCTATCAATGTGGCATGTAAAACAGCCTGTCCAAGCTCTATTTCCCCCCCAAATACATGTCATAGGTAATTCGCTGTCGCGTATGGAACGGCAGACATCAGTCACTGAGTTACAATTAAAAAAAATAAAATACAATTACAGAAAATTGTATATATCAATTATCTCTCTCCCTTATACAGCAGACATTATCTAAACGCGTATTAACACAAATGTCATGAACAAAATCACTCGCATGGGACACCGATATAAACACGAAATAGTAAATAATAAACTAAAAATCTTCTGTTTTCTTCTTTGATTCTTTCCTAAATTAAAGGCTAACAACTTTAAAGCTTAAACAGAACCATTGCGCGACCAAAGAAATCACGAAAACCCTTCACAACATCAATTAAACACAAAATAGAACACATGCACTACTCACGGCTGGCAAATGTTTGTGAATGGGAGGCTCGTGCCGCTCATGCGGTCTCCGAGTTCGAATCCGGAGGCGTTCGGGGAAGCCGGTCGTTCTTTTAGGTAAAAAAAAAAAAGAAAACAAATTTCGCCTATCAATTCGTATATACATTGTATATATAATTATTTGTCATTTCCGTGCGTTCGTATATTTGCGTACGTGTTTTTCGTGCATGAACTTATTTACGTGTATGCTTTTCTCGCAACCATACGCGTTTGTGCGTAGAAATGTGTATGGATGCATCTATACATGTAAATGGGATCTATGTTTACAGATCAATGTTTATGCACACATAACTGAAGTAATGTATGTGTGTGTAGCATTAAGAAAACTCTCCGACCTTTATTGGTTTAAATATATTTAGACAAATATATTCCAAGAAAAGACGTATGAGTTTCTCTCCCTCTCTCTCTCCATATAAATAAATAAATAAATAAATAAATAGAATAAGTATACAATATCTATCGCACACGCGCGCATGCACACACCCTTTACTGCTGCCTTTTCTTGACCTTTTACCGTGACATTTTCTTCCTTTTTTGTTAGAATTTCAAAATCAGTCTCGTCGAGTTCACTGCCAAGTATAATCACGTCAACCAATTTTCTTTTTTTGATCTAAGTATTTCTCACTCTTACTTCATAATTGAAGTATCTTAAATCTGGCACCAATCTCTTTGAACTCTTTCCAGTTTATCAATGCTTTTTCTATAGAGAATATTTCCTATCAATATATAATGCTCCAAGACAAGTTTATGGTATCTATTTATCTTACCTTTATTTCCATGCATCAATACCCTTTTTGTGTCTATGATCGCTGGAGACATTCTGTGAACTTGCGCCTTTTTGTGACCTCTTGAGTTCTGGGTTCCTGTTAACAAATATTACAAAACACTTTCCTTTCTCAGTGTACTTTGTTCTGTATCTCATACTTTGTGGAGTCGAGGGTTAATTTTTCTATTATTATCTGACTACTTATTATTTACTGGTGCTTCTTTTCTTAGTTCTGGGTGCAATTCCATAAAAGAAAAGGTCATTTCAGAGACTTTGACTAGACTCTTCCTCTGTTACATTTATTAGTATTTTTCCATTATCTGCAAACATATTCATAGAGCTGGTTTGACTTAGTGTCTTGGACAAAATGATCTTATGAGAGAGAGAGAGAGAGAGAGAGAGAGAGAGAGAGAGAGAGAGAGAGAGAGAGAGAGAGAGAGAGAGAGAGAGAGAGAGAGAGAGAGGAGAGAGAGAGAGAGAGAGAGAGAGAGAGAGAGAGAGAGAGAGAGAGAGAGAGAGAGAGAGAGAGAGAGAGAGAGAGAGAGAGAGAGAGAGAGAGAGAGAGAGAGAGAGAGAGAGAGAGAGAGAGAGGAGAGGAGAGGGAGAGAGAGAGAGGAGAGAGAGAGAGGAGAGAGAGAGAGAGAGAGAGAGAGGAGAGAGAGAGAGAGAGAGGGAGAGAGAGAGAGAGGAGAAGAGAGAGAGAGAGAGAGGGAGGAGAGAGAGAGAGAGAGAGAGAGAGAGAGATGGAATGAAATGTTATTGCAGTTATTGCAACACAGCTTGAGGTCTGGAAGATGCTGTAGTAATCACAACAAAAGCATATGAGGACTATAATAAAATAACTCATTCAAGTTCACAGGCTTTAATACTGTAATTCTTGTGGGTAAAGTGACTGATTAGTCTGGATGATCTGAATGCTTGTCACTGAAGTTTGTGGCTACAGCTTTTATGGAAAATCTATCATAATATCACTGGTCCAACAATACCTATGAATCACAAGTTTTACAGGTGACAATGGGAGGTGAAGGAGGAAGCATGTTTGATTGTAAAATTACATGTTGTGGTTATCATTATTATTATCATTATCAATCCCACTCTCATTGTTTTCATTATGATCATATTTTTTATCATCATCATTACTGTCATTATCATCACTATGTATCTATATTTTGAAGTGAATGTCAGTCGCACACACACACACATCTGATGGGTTCAACACAAAATAGGCATTCAGAATATTGAGGTATATATATCTTTAAAATTTCCAAGTTTTCTTCACGAAAAAAGATTAAAAAAACATACACAGCTATTGAAGTTTTCTTGACAACAATATAATTATTCAATTTTCTTGACAACTATATAATAACAGGATTGTTTCTTCTCCTTCCATTTGCCAGCATACATTCAATCATTATTTACACCACCTTTCTCGGATGCAATATCAGCCTGAAAAAAACAAGAGAAATAACCATAAATGCTGTGATAAAAGATTAAATAATGACAATTTTCCATAAAATTTTAAGTCAAAGAAAATTAAGCAGTAATTCACAATATACTACACAAATCAGCTCATGGATATTTAAAGGGAAATAATGTAAGATGTGACTTATCCACAGCAAAAACAAGGAAGTTATTTTTCCCATTTACCATTTTTTTTTTTTTTTTTTTTTTTTTTTGTCTTTTGCTTATATTCCTTCTAATCATCACACCCTTCTGACACTAGTATTCAGGTCTGTGTTAATACAGAATTCTGTATCAGTTTAAACTTACATGCCAAGTTCTGAATTTTCCCATCCTCTAGGGATTATGCTGTGTTATAGTCTACAAGAACATGAATAACACAACATCATTACCTTCTTTCACTCACACATTCTCAGGCAACCAATCATATTACTGATTTCTGCATAATCAGCATATCTGAAGATTTTCTCAGCATTCTCTTTGGTTTAGTTGACTAGTCTTGCTGTGCTGCAAAGGGATTTCAAATCAGCATTGACTGTTGTAGAAAAATGCTAGAAACAGAATAAGTTTTTTCTCTAATATCAACAATAATGACAATACTAAAATTACCACATTTAACATGACTGTCTACATGGTTCCCTCTTCTTCATAACAAGGTATATATCCACTTTATGCTATAAATTGCAAATTCCTAAGTACAGTTAACAAGCAGTAAGGGAGGAGGGGAGGGGAGTGGGGAGGGGGAGTGGGAGGGAGGGGAGGGGAGCAGGAGTGGGAGAGGGAGGGGGAAAGAGAGGGAGTGGGACAGGGAGAGGGAGATAGAGAAAGAGAAAGAGGAGAATAACTGAGTATATAAAATAAAAACAACTCACCTTTTCAATTTGACCTGTAAAACATCCCGCTACAATTCACTCTTTAGATAGTAATTCTTGTCAACTTCATTCAGTCAGGAATTGAGGTTTTGCTGCCATCTCCCATACCTCCAGTTAATAGTTCACCTTCTTGGACCATCTGAGGAAAAATTATATGCACTGAGTATTGCTGACTGAACTGAATCTCTGTTAGTTAATGCAGAATGCAAAAATTAATTCAAAGGGATAAACTATCTATCTATTGATAATTTTGAATGACAAAACCTGGTTAGCTTTTATTACAAAAGAGTTCCCATTTGTAATTAAATGTTTATTGGGGTTATATTAAAATGATTTAGTAAAAAACATCATGCTCTATCTGCATTATTATTTTATTAGGGTGCATTTCTGTCAAGGACAGATATGTGAGATGTTAAGATGCTTGGCAATGGATAAAATTTATGTCTTTTGAGAATTACTAAAGAAGTTTGGAATGAAATCCTGTAATTTTGAGTCTATATATATATGTGGAATGATATACTGTTTATAACTATTATAGTTCACATGCTTAATTATGAAAAATGAAACTACTAATACCATTCACTCCCTGAAACTGACATTAAAGACTCATCAACTGGGCCCTTCTCATAATTCATTAAAAAAGAAAAAAATATCTGAAAATATAATAATGCTTACCCCTTTTGTTGAGTTTAATAGTTTCTTCAGCCTTTCTTCTTCCTCCATTTTGCATACTTGATGCCTTTCTGCATTTGAGAAGCCATTGCTCTCCTATTCCCCTTACTCTG